AGGTTGCGCACGGACCACCTCATGATTTTGAAAACCTGCCTCGATTTCAACCCTTTATGAAATTGACTGTACATACTAATTGGAATTACAAAGATAATAATGGATTGATCAAAGTGAAGAAAAGTTTAGCAGATGAACTTGCAAAGAAAGGTTTACTAGCACAATCTAACGATAACGGTACCAACCTTGGTTTAACAATCCTGAAACCTGGTCAGACTATCGCAGATTTAGAGGCAAATGCAATGTGAGTCTTTATTTAGAAATCAACTCTTATCGATCTTTTTTTCTTATCATCTTTGGATCTATTAAATACTGACTCCATGTGTTATGTTTTGTTTCTTTTCATAGACGTAAGAGTCAAACTCGTGGAGCAGGTCGGCTTATAACTTCAATGGAATCATCATCTTCACTTAAAAAAGCACGTAAAGATGGTAGATTAGCTGAAGAATTACTTGATCGTCGATCAAAACTCAAAAGTGATCGATATGCAAAAGTTATTCAACTTATAATTAACCTCCTTTTCAATACTTCCTTAATATCTTAACTAACATTGGGTCTTATTTACGTATTTCTCTAGTAAACATACTCGATTTTATCATCTGCTCCGTCATCTTGAATTACGCAGATATTTGTATCTGTATATTTTAATCAATCTTCTTGTGATCAAAAAATCATGAAATATACTCATTCAACATTATCTCATCAAATACGAAGCACTGTATTTCAACCAACATCATTCTTTCTATTTTCTTTCCAAAGATATCCGTAAAGAAAGGCTGTAATGCTAGTTCATCCAAATGGAGGTTCAGGATATACATCAATCATCACTTTTAGAGCGCTTGAACAAAGAAAAATTGTTCAAAGATTAGTGTGAGTTTAGGAACAAAGAACATGGTTGTGAGTGAGCATCCAATTAACAGATTCATCTCATACTTCATCAGGTAGATCCAGCCAGGACCGTTCTAAATTCAAATGAGCCAAGAGCTTCCTCAGTTACCCAGAGGTGGAAGAGATATGATTTCAAGCTTTGGCTGTATGTATGTGTTTCCGAGATTGAATTTCCAACTTGATTTGATGGATCTCCTTGGACTTCATCAACAAATGTCTGATTTACGAAAAACAAAGCGGGCGAGGACCTGCGAGAATCCCAGAGCGGGATAGCAGACTTGGTCCTTCTGGCTTGTAGAGGCATCGGGCATCAAATTGCGATCTCGTGAGCCATATCTGATGCTTTGTGAGTTTATATGTATATCCGCCCAATAATTAATTTGGTCTTTCGGATTAGAGGATAATCTCAAGATTGAGGATCCCAAGTGAATTCCTAGAATAATGATTGTTTCTTGAGCTCAGACTTCGGGTTATCACGAACACCAAGTGTAAAAAATTGTCTGGGTTTCCAAAGTTGCACCCAATAAAGAAACATTCACGCATTCCAGATCAGCTCAAGAGAGTCCACCTAGGTTCACCTGGCATTTTCAGGCTCGAGACGATCCTAAAAGAATAATTGTTTCCCCGAGCTCAGGCTTCGGATTATCATATACAACAAGACGCTCTTCCGTAAATCCTGCTACTAAACATATTTGGTCACTCTGAGATATTGACACCGAATCCATTCCAGTGGATCCGCGGCTCTCAGGCATCAAGCTCACTCAAGGCGAAACATAGACATATAAAAGCCATCGAAGTTGAACTTCTTTCCTCCCTCCTATCCTGCATCCTTCCCTCGTTGATAGCTTTGAGAGCATACCCTTTTATATCTCTATAAGTTAACTTATTTATTTATTTTTCCATTACAACCAATCTTGAAGATTGTTTTGTGATCCCTTTTACGCTTTCTTTTTATCCATTCTTAAATTTCCACAAGATGTTGTTAGGTAACTTAGTCGGAGCTCTTGCTCTTAGTGGTACGTTTTTTAGTTTCTTCTGCTCCGTCATTTATCTTGATACAACTTTTCAGCTCATAAAGCTTTTAATCCTTCTTCACGATTCTAGCTCCTATCGTTCAGAGTATACCTACTTTTGGACCCGGTGGTCGTGCTGGCTTTGGCGCTGGAGCCAGTGCAGGAGGTGTTGGAGCATCGGGTGGGTTCGCGGCTGGTGCTAGTGCTGGTGCCGGCGGTAGTGTCGGAGCGGGTGTTCGAGGAGGAGCTGGTGTCGGAGCTGGTGTTGGAGCTGGTGTCGGAGCTGGTGTTGGAGCTGGTGTCGGAGCTGGTGTTGGAGCTGGTGTCGGAGCTGGTGTTGGAGCTGGTGTCGGAGCTGGTGTTGGAGCTGGTGTTAGAGTCGACGCTTCTGTCAGTTTGGTCGCTGGATTTCAAGCTTGTACCGGTCTCATTGCTGGCTATGAAGCCAAGTTCAGAACTGCCTGTCAGCAAAATGATGTCGGAGTACTTGTCAGCGCACTTGGCAGTATCAAAGCCTCGATCCAAGGTTTGGGAGTCGATGCTGATGCTTATGCACACGTTGGTGCGGACGTGAGTGCTAGCTTACCTTTTCTTCGCCTTGATAGAACACTAACGTTTGAGTTATCTTTGTAGGTTCTTACTACCAACACTGTCGGTGTATTTGTCAAGCTTCAAGTCTTGATCAAACTCATCGCTGATTATAAGCTCAGCTCTGCATGTCATGGTGAGTCAAAACCGTTTCTTTAAAAGTTATTTGTAGATTCTTGACAATCGATCTTTCTCCTGATTATATAGGCGCCATCATTGATCTACAGGCCTCTCTTAGTGGCATGGTTTCTGTAGTCAATTCCGTTGGTATCAATCTCTCCGCCAAACTCTCCGCTGCTGTGAACCTTGACCTTTTTGCCCAAATCGGACTTCATTTCGGTTTCAACGTTGGTGCCGGAGCTGGAGCGGGCGTCGGAACTGGAGCTGGTGTTGGAGCTGGAATTGGAGGCGTTGTTGGTGCCGGAATTGGAGGCCTCGTCGGTGCTGGTGTAGACGCTTCCGCTCATTTGGTAGCTGGCTTTCAAGCTTCTGCCGGTCTCATCGCTGGTTACGCATCCAAATTCGAGAAGGCGTGCCAAACACACGACATCGGATTTCTTGTTAGCGCATTAGGTAGTATTCAAACCTCAGTTGCAGGCTTAGGAGCAAATGCAGATGTTTACGCTCACGTTGGTACCGATGTAAGTGATAGATCAAATTTTCTTGACTTTGACACAACACTCATTTTTATGCTACTCTTTAGGTCCTTACTACCAATGTTATCGCGTTGTTTGTCAAACTACAAGTCTTACTGCGATTTATTGTTGACTACCAGTTGACCTCTTCATGCCATGGTGAGTGACTAAGAGTTTTATGGGCGTATACGTAACGTTCTGAAATTACTTTGAACTTCTATGATTCAGTCGCTATCATCTCTTTACAAGCTCCTCTCAATGCTATTATCTCGGTCGTTGGGTCCACTGGTATCGATGTTCGTGCCAGATTTTCCGCCTCTCTCGACTTGAATCTCTTTACTCAAATTGGCCTTGGCTTCGGCTTTGGTGCCACTGCTGGTGCTGGTGTTGGTGCTGGTATTGGTTCTCTTGTCGGAGCTGGTACCAACGCTGTTGCGGGAGCTGGTTTTGGTGCGAAGGCTGGTTTTAACGTAGATGCCTCTGCTAAAGTATTTGATGAATTCAAAGCATCAACCACCGCTGTTGCTTCTTATACTCCAAGCTTCAAGACTGCCTGTGAATCGAAGGACAGTGCTGTCCTCAACAAAGGATTGACCACCATTGCGGCTTCGATCTCAGGCATTGGAGGAAAATCTGATGACCTAGTCCATGTCACTGCCGATGTAAGATAACCTTTTCGTACTCAGTGCTTGGCCTGATGCTTACCACAAGATATTTCATGTTTCAGGCTCTCTGCTCCCAATATTTTGAGCTTCTGATCAAATTACAAGCCCTCTTGAAACTTATTGCCAGCTATAGTTTGACTTCCTCATGTCATGGTCAGTATTAGAAACTCTTTATCTCTGATCATCTTGCTAACTGAAAGACTGGTATTATTTTTTATTAGACTCCATCGTCTCTTTCAACAATCCTCTGAAAGTCTTACTCTCAGTCCTTGTCTCAGCTGGTGTTAATGTTGCTGTGAAAGCCCATGCATACGCTTCTCTCGACTTAAGCTTCTTTGCTAGCGTCGGTGTTAATCTCGGCATTTGAACTGGTTCTCAAACTTACAGTTCTTTGTAACCCTTTCTTTCATCTTATGGACCTTTTTATTTTTATTTTACGAACAATTGATGACTGTAACGTTTATGTAATGCATTGCATCACTCACTGGCTGGGATTGTGCAATCATGACCCCCACATATTTTCCTACTGTGCTGTGTCCCATTTAACTACGAATATCTTGATGTCCAAGGGAGTCTTCTCACATCATCAGGACTGCAAATTACTTCATTTCCTGATCCTTGCATACTAGTCATCAGGCTTTGAAGGCACACCTGCATTGAGTAACGCCCATCCTGAATTATGTACATGTCCCCACACCTAGAAATTGTAATTGGGTTTGGGACAAACCCTGGCCTGCTGCTGCCAAACTTGATTGTTTACGTGTATCACTTGGAGGGGACTGTACAAGGTTGAACATTGACTGCTGCTTGTATTTAACCCACAAAAACAGCATCATTGTACATGTAGTGACGTAAAAGCTACGGTTTTTTGTTTTTGATTTTTCAATTTTGTTGTTTTTGATTTTTGTTGTTACCAATCTTCTGGTCAAACGTGTCAATCATCACCTCTGAAACTGTCAATATGAAGCCCTTATCATCTGATCTTATAAACCAAATGGTCGGAATGCACCTATCGAAGAAGAGAAATGTAGATATCATCTGAACTCTATGGTGTCCAGTCACCACAGTCCAATCTGTCCTCGCAAAATTTCAGGAAGAAGGCTCAGTATAAGGCCACAAACCCTCTGGCCAACTGTCTCTGTTGACCAATCATGATCTTTGACATCTTGAGCGTGATGTCAAACAGTCTCAACGACCTCCGATGCGTGAGATAGTCCAAGGATGTGCAACAAAAGCAAGTGCTACTACAATTCAACTTGCTCTGAATCCCTTGGTTACAACTTGAGAGTAGCAATAGTCAAGCCCTATTTGAGTGCTAAACATAAAGCAGCACATCTCGAGTTTGCAAAACATTATGCGGCATGGACAGTGGATGATTGGAAGCAAGTCATTTGGACTGATGAATCCACCTTTGAGATTGGAAAGCCATATTGAAAAGTTCAGGTGTGGCAAAAAGTGGCTGAAAAGTATGATGCATCCTGTTTGGCACCATCTTTCAAATCAGGCCGTAGTTCAGTGATGGTTTGAGAGAACCAGTGAGGTACGAATTGGTTCAGTAGCCCATGGGGATTAGCGGGGCTGAGGGTCTCGGTCCCGGGTAGAAGAGAAGGTTGTTCAAACCTTCGAAGTCGTGAGATCTACAACTCACACTTCCTTCTACCCCCAAATCAGGCCTCGCTAATCTCGTTAATTTTAACTCAGCGACTAAACATTCGGTTTAGAAAAATTTGTTAAACATTCGGTTTAGAAAAATTTGTAAAACTTTTTGATTTAGAAAATTTAAATTCAAGCAATAAGGAACATGAATGACTCATTGATGGAGAGAATTGATAAAGCTGAAGAAAATTTACAACAAGTAACAAGAGCGAGATCGGCGAAAGATGCAAATCAACAAGAAGACGTAGAAGTGCAGTCGACAAATATGGAAGGTCAAGAACATCAAAACAGAGAGGCGGATGCGAACAACAAAGAGAGACAAGTGGAAGAAAGGCCAACAACGGAGAAGGAGCAAGGTGTCGTGCCAAGAATCAACGTGATAGGACCAAGAGAACCGGCAGATCCAACCGAGGATGATGAAGAGGACGATGTATCGTGGAAACCACCAGCGTCAAAATCTCCGGAAACGTTGGAGGAGGAAGAAGGGTCAATTCTGGCAACTGGATCTATAGGTAAATGCTCAAATCAGTAGTGGTCTTTAGTGGTCTTTTTCTTTCTCTTTCTCTCCTCTATCACGTACATCTATGCATCCCCAATTCCATTATTCCATTTCCTTCCGTTTCCACCCAAATCCTTCCCCTTTTTTCTCTTCCCCTTTTTCTTCATCCATCAAACCTTCAAGACAAACTTCGGACAACTAAGAAGACGGAGACAAGAGTACAATTGTACGAGGAAGCATGGGCCGTGTTTGAGGCAAGATGCTGAGTTCCACGACGGAACGTGCAGGTTCTGACTAGAACAAAACTGCGGCTGGAGTGCTTGACACCGAAGCGAGCCATACCCGGCTGCAAATAGGGGGAGGAAGCAAAGTGCTGACTCGAGCCAAGCCCGGCTGCAAATAGGGGTTTAGAAGAAATCCACAACCTGAAATGAATCCATAGAGAGATGACACGAGATACTTACTAGTATTGTTGGATCGAAAATTTGAACCTGCAGCCGAAGGAGATAACTTGATGGTGATCCAGGCCGAAATAAATTTCCTGTACTCAACAGGAAAATTTAATGAGGGGGCAGCACTCCTAGCAGCAACCATGGACAGAACAATCCCCGCGAGACAGGAAACCCCACTTCAGGAGTCATCTCGACAAGCTCAACTGCGCAACATCGGATTGAACCAACCTACTCAATCACCTTTGATAAATCAACAACAGAATCAAGAAGCTCCAGCTAGACGTGAAAGATCCCCCTATAGATTGATCCAAGAGAACATGTCAGATGCGATAACTGAACCGTTCACAAGAGAAATACCTTGAGAAAATCAAATAGAACAGAATGCTCAAAATTTGATGAGAAGCGTACCGCGGAAAGAAGCCATGACAGAAGAAAAACAAGCGCAAATTTTGCTAGAGTCTGGGAAAGGATGGATGGAGCTGAGTAATGGTGATGTTATAGAAAATGGAAGGCGAATACTGAAGAATAAAGATCAGCAGATGGGGAAACTGTTAACTCCTCTGAGCCCTGTTCTACAAAGTTACATGAAGACTTTTAGAGCGTATATACCTTTATCGGTGTTTGACAAAAACTGGTTGATAGCGGATCAAACCGCGTGGGCAGGGAAAGAAGCACCTTCAGAAGCAAAGATTGCCAAGGGAACGTTAAGGATTTACGCCACCGATCCGCCAATGGAAGAGTTGAGAATGCAGTATGAGCAGTGGTTAGACGCGATGAACTTATTTATACGATACGTAGAAGATGCTGGGTGGAAAACTCAGACGCAACGGTTTAAAGCTCATAAAGAAATTGTTAGTGAACTACGAGAAAACATTGGTTGGATGGTTGCGCTTAGGTACTGTCGGAAGGTTAGGCAAGGAGTGATGAGGTTGACAGTAGGAAAAGAAATCTGTAATATTGAAGAGCTGCAGACAACGATCTTGGAAAGTGTGAAGCAAGAGTGTGAAAACTTAGGAGAAAGAGCTTTCAAGACGAATCCTTACGCGGTAGGCGGACCTAAAGAGCACGTAAACCCAGAGACAGGTGTTGGATTCGAGAAAAGAAAATCAACAATCAACAACGCAATTCCCTTTCAACCGGCAGCAGAGCATAGCACCTACGATCAATATAGGAAACCAAAAAGAAGATGGATACCGGAGCCGTTGTATAAAGCTCAAAAGGCTGCCGAAAGGGCAGAAAGACAAGGCCAGAAGTACGAATTTAGAAATGATTATAAACCCTATAGAGAAGAGCGGGATTCAGAAAGATACGCCAGAGGTTATGGGCGCCAAAATGAGTTCAGGGCTGAAAGAGACAAAAGACAAAAGAGTCAAAGTCGCAGCAGAGAGCGAGGAGGTTTCCCCTTTAAGGGTGGAAAAACCGGGAAGGGAAGGTTCTCGTGAGTGTGCAAACATGTTGTATGATTTGAGGAAATGCATACCCCAAAGTGGTGACCTTGTTCGGAAAAACCAAAAAAGACCTTGAGGAAAGCAGTGAGAAACAAGTGAGGTCCTGACGAGTTGTGTAACCTCCAAAATTTTCATAGGTACATTTCAAGACAAGAAATGGCTGAATTGAGAGGACCTGAAGCTAAAAAGGTATGGCCGGAAAAAATTACATGTGAAATGAACTTGGAGTTCTGGGAGAAAGAATTGAAAGACTTACATCTTTGGAAAGAAAACGGAAATATCTTGAGAGGTTTTGTTGAAGGTTTCAATCAAGGAATTGAAGAGGTTCTGTTGGAAGGTTTAGATTATTTCTGCCCGCCAAACCATGCATCATCAGCGGCGGCAAAGGATGAGGCTGAAGAGAACTTCAGGAACGAAATGAAAGCGGGCCGGATGTACGGATCTTTCAAAAAAGAGGAGGTGTTCAAAAAAGTAGGGTTTTTTAGAACTAATCCAATTGGCGCAGTAATAAACGGAGACGGGACTCTAAGGACAATAAATGATTTGTCATACCCAAGGAAGGACTCAAAGATACGGTCAGTAAACGCGTCAGTAGAGAAAGATGATTTCATAACAACATGGGACAATTTTGAAAAGGTAGCACTGCTGTTCTTGACAACAGAGGGAGATCTACTTTTAGGGATTTTTGATTGGGCCAAAGCATATAGGCAGATACCGACGCTAATGAGTCAATGGCCGTATTTGATGGTGTTGGATTTTGAAGAAAACGTGATAGTGGATACGAGGGTGACGTTTGGCGGAGTTGCAGGATGCGGATGTTTTGGTCAGGTAGCGGATGTATGGAAGCACATCACGAAGAGGAAGTTTGGTTTCCTAGAGGTATTCAGATGGGTTGATGATGCTTTGTTTATCAAACAAGCAAGAGGGGGCACCACAGCGTTGATGGTAGAAGTGGTGAAGACTAGCGAGGAGTTAGGAGTAGCAACAAACGCTAAAAAATGGAGAGAATTCACATTCAAACAGAAATATTTAGGTTTTGTCTGGAATGGGAAGGAAAAGTCAGTAAGGTTACCAAAAGAAAAGTTGGAAAAACGGATAGAACAGATAAATTTATTCATGGAAAGGGGAAAGGCAACTACGGAATGCGACATGTGTCAAAGTGACAACTTGAAATTTCAAAAATCAAAATTTTGGAATCCCCGGGTCAGAAACTGACAAAACTGGATTAAACACCAGATTCAACTCAAATACTGGTCTGAAACCCCCCGTATTTGGGATGAAACCATACTTTCTGCCAGTTTTTAGCGGTTTCCAAACCACAAACCCAAATTTGACCGCTGAGTTGGCACTTTGGCACAAATAATACACAAAAATTTGAAAGATCAAGTTTCAACATTACAAAATTCACATACTTACAAAACGACCAAACACAAAAGTGATTCTTTACCACAAGTCAACTGTAACTGTAAAT